TCTGCTCCTATGATGCTGCTTGGCCTGCTGTGTTCATCCAGCCCTGCACCTTGTTGTACCAGACTGTCCAACCTCTCTTCAAAACTGAAACTCTCCAGCCCAGGCAAAATCCTAATAAATCTTCCCAGCATCTTTTCAAGTGCTACCATATCTTCCTCTAATATGGATTCCAGAACTGCACATAATACCCTAGCAGCAATCTGCACAGGTAAAACAAAGAACTGTGAATGCTGGAAATCTGAAACAAAAACAGAAATTACTGGAGAAACCCAGCAGATCTGTTAGCAGAATTAATGTTTTGGCCCAGTGACCCTTCTTCAGAACTGATAGTAGCTATAAAAAGGTGGTATTTATGCTGATGACAGAGGTGGAGGGAGGGGAGTGAGCAGATAGGTGGAGACGAAGCCCAGAGAGAGAAAAAGACAGTTAGGCAGACAAAGGGATGGCTAATAGCACACCACAGAAGGAGAAAACTAAGTAATGTTCAGGCTCAGTCTTACTTGCACTATATTTGCCAAAGGAAACAAACAGAATTTCAGAAGTAAGATTCTTTTAAATTGCACTTACCTGTGAAAGTAGTGCCCACAGAACATGAACAATAAGAATTTGCTCCTCATACTGTCCAGGCTGCCTGATTGATAAAGTGATATCACGGGCACTAAAAATGAGGGCAGCTCCATTACAAACCATCCAATCTTAGCTGGGACATATATTATAGAGTGATCTTGAGTTAGATATCTACCATACAAATGTACAGACTTTCTGTCCTGGATATTGAAAATCATAACTGCCAGCAAATAAGATGTTAGTGGGTACATAACATATGGGTTACACTCTGACATAGCTAACCTTGACGGTTTTGTTAAGGCGACAATTTCTGTGGTCCACCCCTGCAAGGAAATAAACTTCAATGTGCTAGTCTAGTTATTCAGTCTTATTTGCTTGTTCTGTGATCAGCATCAAACCAGTAAAAGGTTGGGTTTCTGTATCATACACTCATCTGGCAGATCTTTACACTTTAAGTCTCATTTGAAAGCTGGAATTTAAAACCCAACTCAAAGTTTGCATGAACTAGTCAACCACGAGATCACCCAAAGAGATGAGTAAACATTTGCATGTAAGAACATAAGTGCTAGGATTAGCAGTAGGCAATTCAGCCTTTTGAGCCTGCTCTATTATTTAATACAATCATGGCTGATCTCATTTCAGCCTCAACTCAACTTTCCTGTATACTCCCCATAATCCTTTAACCTAAAAATCTATCTCCTCCTTAAAGTTACTCAGTATCCAGTGTCCACCGACTCTGGGGCAGTGAATTCAACAGATTCACGACCCTTTAAGAAAAGTAGTTCTTCCTCATCTCTGTTTTAAATCCATCACCCTTTAGGCTAAAACTATGACCTCTTGTTCTAAATTGCCCCACAAGGAAAACATGTTCTCTATATCTACTTTGTCAATCTTTGAACATCTCAATTAGATCTTCTCTCATTCTTCTATCCTCTAGCGTGTATAAGCCTAAATTGCTCATAAGTGTCTCCTCATAAGACAAGCCTTTTATTTCTGGAATTAATCTAGCGGACCTTCTCTGAACTGCCTCTAATGCAATTACATTCTCCCTCAACTAAGGTAACCAAAACTGTGTGCAGTACTCCAGATATGGTCTGGAGGTCAGGTCACACCCAAAGGAAAATCCCTTTTCGTGAAATCATGTTACTGATTACATAGAACATAGAACAGTACAGCACAGTACAGGCCCTTTGGCCCACGATGTTGTGCCGAACTTTTATCCGAAACCTAAGGTCTATCTAACCTCTACCGCTATCTTATACTATCAGCCAAATGCCTATCTAATAGCCGCTTAAATGCCCCTAATGAGGCCGACTCCAATACCCTCTCCGGCAATGCATTCCACGCCCCTACCACTCTCTGAGTAAAGAACCTACCTCTGACGTCTCCCCGATATCTACCTCCTTTCACTTTAAAACTATGTCCCCTCGTAAAAGCAACCTCCACCCTAGGAAAAAGTCTCTGGCTGTCTATCTATACCTCTGATCATTTTGTACACCTCTATCAAGTCACCTCTCATCCTTCGTCATTCTAAAGAGAAAAACCCTAGCTCTCTCAAACTTTCCTCTTAAGACCTTCCCTCCATTCCAGGTAACGTCCTGGTAAATCTCCTCTGCACCTTTTCTAACGCTTCCACATCTTTCCTGTAATGAGGTGACCAGAACTGGACACAATTCTCCAGATGTGGCCGAACCAGGCTTTTGTATAGCTGGAGCATAACTTCACGGCTCTTGAACTCAATCCCTCTATTAATGAAAGCTAACACACCATACGCCTTCTTAACAACTCTATCCACCTGGGTGGCAGCTTTCAGGGAACTGTGAACATGAACCCCAAGATCCCTCTGCTCCTCCACACTGCCAAGAATCTTTCCGTTAACCCTGTATTCTGCTTTCAAGTTTGTCCTTCCAAAATGAATCACCTCACACTTTTCAGGGTTAAACTCCATCTGCCACTTTTCAGCCCAGCTCTGCATCCTATCAATGTCCCTTTGTAACCAAGAACTTCCCTCCACACTGTCCACAACAGATCAGACAGCCACATTACTCTTGGTTTGATAAATTTATTGAGAAAATGAGTGTAACTAGGAATTGTGACATTAGTCATATTAATAGGCTAGTGATATGAATTCTATTGCAGACTATTTACCTATTTACAATTGCATGGTTGCACATTTGCAGTAAAGAGACAACTCACAGTATTAGAGGCATTGCATTAGCATTATTTGAGGATTGGTTAATATACAGGCGACAGAGAGTTGGGATTAACGGGCCTTTCTTAAGTTGAAAAAACATAACTAGTGGAGTGCTAGAAGGATCAGCCCTAGGATCTCAATTATTTACTATCTATGACAATGGCTTGGAGGAGGCGCAGATATCTATTTGCTGACAATACAAAAATCATTGGGAAGGCATGTTGAGATGAGGACAAGACGAATTTGCACAGGGATATATATATAAAGGTTGGGTGAATGGGAAAAAACTTGGCAGATGACGATTAATGCAGAGAAGTGTGAATTCATGCACTTTAGTAAGAAGAATCAAAAGGCAGACTGCTATTTAAATGGTGAGAGAGAGACTCCAAAAAAGTACAGCACAGAGGGATCTGAGTGTTCTTGTGCATGAAACATAAAATGTTAACTTGCAGCAAGTAATTAAGGAGGTAAATGAAATTGTGGCCTTTATTGCTTGGGAGTTGCAGTTAAAAATAGGGAAGTCTTGTTACAACTTTACCAGATGTTGGTCAGGCTGCAGCTGGAGGCACCCTATTTAAAAAAGAATAAACCAGCATCAAGCAATATTACAAATCAATTCTAATAATGTATGTGAGGCACAAGCAATAGTTTGCAACCTGGAAAGATTTATCGTCGTTGACAAAGTAGCAACCACTTTTCAAATTCCGATAGCCTTAACATGGTGCAGGAGCTGCTTACTTCACTCCTTGGACCATAAGCCATCGTGTCATGCTCAGGATAACTAGGCTCTGTACCTTCATTCTTGGAGTTGCAGCTAAAATGACAGTCACACACAGCTGATGATGAAAAGTAAACATGTGTTTGTAAATGGGATACCATATTTACAATGAAGTGTGACCTGTGCTAGCTTCAGGCCATCAGGAGGATCCTTTTCTTTACTTCCCTCCTGCTCTGTCTAGGTGTATTCTGGGCTCCACAACTGGGGTAGAGGAAGCCTGCCCTAAAGTGCCCCTATCAGTTTTGGGCTTTTGGTCATTTGATCCCGGAGTGCTTATGGGTGGAGGGACCATACACACTGAGTATGCTGTTCCCAAATTCAGGTTCATCCACCTTGGCTGGAACTCCCACATGGTTGAGAGAGGCTGGCAGGTTGGAGGTGGAATCCTCAGTCAGAAGTCAGACTTCTGAGGAGCCTGTATGTGGTACTCCCACAGACTGGGTCACTCCTGGGGTTCAGGAGCACTGTGAGTATAGTGATTGTATCGAGGTCAGCCAGATGGCCCTCATGGAATGAGTTCCCTGATTGGGGCTGTTAATCTGTCCAATCAGGGAGCCCTGGCTAACTTAAACATGAATGTCAGAGGTTCTGTTCGCTCTGAGGAAGCTGGATCAGTGTCACGGACTCTGTAAATAAAAGGGGACTTGGTGATGGGTGGCACACTCCTGAAGAAATTCACTTGCAACAATTGTCTTGGAATTGGGGTAAGCATTTCTGGCATCGATCCATTATTTGGAAGTTTGACCTGTTTGATCTTGCCATCAAAGACGAGGCCCAGTATATGGAAAGAATGCATTATTTTTTCTAGGCAATTGACATTGGGGCAGATGAAAAGCAATGAAGAATTCTCCTGACAGCTTGTGGACCACAGCTTTTTTGGTTATTAGGAGCCTAACTTTCCCTGAAGCATCAGATACTAAAACATTTCAAGAGTTGACATATTTAGTTAAGGAATATTTCAACACTAAGCTTTCTCTAATTCTGAGATGGCTACTGGTTTTACTCAAAAATTCAAGTACCGGGGAATCCTTATCAGAATTTTTGACTGGATTAGGAGGATTGGCAGAGGCATATGACTTTTATTTAACCCTTAATGACATAGTGAGAAACTATTTGGTATGTTGGATTAATGGTGTGACCATGCAAAAGCACCTACTACCTAAAGTCCAACTGGATTTTAAACTATCCTTGCATGGGCTTAATGTTCTTAGTCATTGTGGATGCCCACTCAGGGTCACTGGACTTGCATAGAGTTGATTCGTCAAACACGGGGAGGATAGAAAAACTGTGTGCATGTTTTGCAATTTCTTGACTTCCAAAGGTGTTGGTCACAGATAATGGGCCATCATTTACCAGCCACGAATCTGAGTATTTCCTAAAGTGAAACGGTATCTGTCATATAAGGACAGCTCCATTCCATCCATCATCCCATGGCCCAGCAGTAAAAACAGTCCAAGCTTTGAAGGGAAGCTTAAAGATACAGCCTACAGCTTCACTAGATACCAAATTATCCCAGTTCCTGTTTGATTATAGGTCCATCCCTCATTCAACTCCAGGGATAGCTCCAGCAGAGTTGCTAATGGGGAGAAAACTCCTCACCAAGTTAAAGCTGACCTTCCTGGACTTGGGGGCAAACACAAGATTCCCTAATTGAGACAGGCAGTTTACTTCAGGGGATGAAGTTTTGGTGTAGAGACCATGGCAATGAACCTGCTTGGGTAAGAGGCACGGTCAACATGAGGTTAAGACGAGTGACGTATAAACTTCGGGTAGGTGCGACAGCCCTGAACAAGCATGTGGATCATATTAAAGCCACAAACTCGCAAATGGGGCAGGAACAAATGTGCGCGTCTCCTTGACTGTCTCACCAATTGTTTGGAACCAATGGGTTCCCCCTCTCTGTCAAGCATTGAAGATATCTTGGAATCTGAGATGGACACGGTGGATGTTGCCTCTTCGACGCCTTTGTCGCCTGAAGAGGAGAATTAATTTCTTCTGATACACTCCAGGCATAAGAGGCAAGTTACTGTGCATTACACGCAGCCTGTATCAGAGACAGAGTTGGAGGAACCTGACCCGATGCTAAAACACTCCAGGGAAGCTACAAAAAATGAATTGGTCTATGTCCTCGGACTCAGAGTGGGAGGGATGCAGTGATTGTAACAAGGTCAGTCAGGTGGACCTCATAGAATATGAGTTCCCTGATTGGGGCTGTTAATCTGGTCCAACCAGGAAGCCCTGACTAACAGATATAAACAGAAGTGTTAGAAGTTCTGTTTACTCTGAGATCTGGCTCTGAGAAAGCTAGATCAGTATCAAGGACTCTCCACGTGTAAGTAAAGGATGACTTGGTGTTGGGATACCAGCCTCTGTGGAGCTATTTCAGTCAGTGTGAGTGAACACTTTGACTGAGTAAGATAAATGTCAAGTTAGTACGTGAACTGCTTCGCGAGGTTAGTCATGGCTCACGTCAACTCTGACCTCCCAGC